CTAACCTCTAGACCACTGAGTCGGCATTCAATGGTGTTAATGTCTAACTTCAACCAATGCTTCCAGGTTTTTCATGGTGGTCTAGCTTCAATCAACTCATGAATTCATCTATTAAATACTAAAATTCCAACTGCATGAGATAAACACAGTTTACAGATTCTCATATTTTATATAATATACACAAAATTAATTCTAACGTTAATATTAATGTAATGAACGAGAACTCAAATGGTGAAAACCAATTTATTGTTTTATGCAAAATTACAGAGTATATTCGTAAAACCTCGAAACCATACATTAAATACATTATTTGCACATCTTCCTTCAGTTGTCCCATACAAACTCCTTCATTCTTTCATTGCAATCGCTCTCTGTTTACCATCTTGTTCTCTTTAATCAAATCTTCTGTTTGCAAGCATTCCACTTTCAATTTGTAGAATAGCCCACAATGTTCTTGATAGAGTTTTGTTCTTTCGTGTAGCTTTCATCATTCTTCTGAACAACATCATCGGCACAAATTTCGGGTAGAAGTGAACTGTTCGAATTTATCCCTATATGGGTCAAAACTTGTAGATCTCGATATTGATCGGTTCATTTTGGCCTTGAATTTATCATTGTTTACTTTTTTATTTCGGTTGAATCTCCCACTGATTTGATTTCTGGTCACCTTAATAATACTACAATTATTTATTAAACATGAGGATTTACATTTTAGTAATTTTTTAAAAAAGAAATTTATACAATCATTTATACACTTTCAATTACGTAGCTGTGATGGAACTATATTTAAAGTAAAATAATTTTTAAAAAGGCTCTTTTTTAAATTCATTTTCATTTAGAAGTGTTGTTGAACAATGAAATGAATGTCAGATCTAATTACTTTCAAAATTAGCGTATATCACTATTATCTTTTTTCTGACAAAAAAATCATAAACAACATAGCGGTCGACGTTATATATATATATATATATATATATATATATATATATATATATATATATATAGGGAAAGATAGGCCATCTTATTCGCTGAACCTTTTGGAAGACTGAAGAAAAAATCATCTTCTAATTAAACAAATACGTGACAGTTTTTTTACACTTAAGTCTGGCATTTTACACATTTTTTTACTTGAAAAAGTGTAAATTCTTCAGGCCCTTAGATTTTGTATCATAGTATAACACAATACAACCAATACGTTCTACTATTCTTATTCTAGTGGGGGGTTTTTTCATTGTTTAATAAAAAGAATTTAGTTCTCTAAATGTTTCTATTTCCGGCTATCATTTTATCAATGTTTCTTTTAAAGAATCACCTTTCAAATAATCGTATACACAATTGAATGAAGTTAATTATAACAAGATATAAAAAAAATTAGATTTCTGATTCAGTTAAGCCAAAAGGGTTTCAATTTGAGTTTGGGTTTATTTGTTAAAGTATTCTAATTTATCTAATAAGTGACAACCCTGTAAACTGTTATATCTACTTCATTTCAGGAGTCATTATGATAATACTATTTCATATATTGCAGATATGCTTGAAACTATATAACTTTAACTTGTCAATCCTAGAACATTTTTCAAGCCCTTTAATAGGCACAATTATTTATTTTCAATGTTAATTTGTATTTCAGACATATTCGTATATGATTTATAGGAAAAACAATATCCCATCTCATACTTTATATTATCATATATAGATAATCAGGAGTAATTTACATCACTTTTAACTATATAATCAAAATTCTATTACTGTCAAAATGCCAAATGTGAATTTCAAAATATCTTTTAAACAATGAAGATAAAAGCTTCAAAACATCAACTTGATACTTTTACCATTGAGCGTAGAGATCATATACATTTCAAGCTAAGGCTGAAGTTAGAAGTTAAACTATGTTTTCTTGAAATTAGAATATCTTTACCGTAAAGCGAAAAAATAGCTTAATTACTAGTAAATTAAGGTATAAGTAACTGGTTAGAAGAAGTATGGTATTTTTCTGGACTCATGTATGGAAATAGTAATTAGCTACCTAAGGTACTCTCGGTACAATTCGTAAGCCGTCAATATTAAATCAAGAAAAATTCTTGTGTGAGAAAAGCATTTAAAATTATTTTAAACTACTCCCAATTAAATCACTACTTTAACCAGACCTTCATACTTTATGCACAACTCTTGATATAATGATTACTAAGCCCAAACTTTTTTTAATTACTTCATTAGACATCTGTGAGGAAGAAACCCAACTCCTTGGGAAAGGTAGTATCATACTTATAAACATTTTTTCAGCGTATTCATTCGAAACATTATGTAAATTAACGTTTCCACGGAGAATGAAATTTTTGCCATTTATCGTTACACTTATAAAGGTTACTCATGAAGTACTTACGTTCTGTGTATCTTGTCTATTAACCCCATATTCATCTGAGTACCGTATGGACAAACACCAGGATTGTTTTCTCTAGGATTTGGTGTTTTTCTTGAAATTCGAAAGTCAATACTAATTAACAAGTTGTATTTTTTCACTTTAGAATACTCCGAACTTTCAGTTCTAATCACCATCACATCGTACTCCAAAAAATTCAGTCGTCATAGTCCGATCATTATTATTGAATCATGTAGTCAAATGAAAGTTGACGGTGAATTATAATTTAAGTTTATCGTTCAAGAAGATGGAAATTTATTTAGCCTGATTATTTCCTTGTGGTCTTACTTTAAAGATAATAAATTTTGATCAACTTTTGAGAGATGAATACACCCTTTAAATAATGAATTAGTAATGTATTTTTTAAAATAAAATTTATTTCATTATAACTAACTTCGCGTTCGTTTTTTAAAAAAAAAACTTTTATAACACAACTACATTTACCAACAAAAATCATTACACTTGTAACCGTATATTCTTGTATAGATAGACCAGTTTAAGAAATAGTCCAAACTTTACTCCTAACAATTTCTTATCCAAGACCTCTAGACTTGTAAAATTATTATATTTACTAAATTTGTTAACTGATAAAACAATTGAAGTTATATTTTATAAAATTGACTCTGATCAACGAGTGTCCATTCATCTCATTTATACTACTTAACTAGGTGTTGATTAGAGCCTATTGACTTTCCTTAATAGTTGATACCAATCATAAAATAATACAATGTCACATTAATTTTAAACAACGTCATAAACTTTGTTTTAATTTATAGAATATAATACCTATTCCTATCAAATTATAATTATAGTAAAGAACATTTAAAATAAAGATCTTTATTACATTACCGAATTACTTTATTATTATAAATAAAATTTTAGTTTAAATAGTTATTTCAATGGTTGAGATCATGAATAAGTTGAAGCTAGACCACCATAGAAAACCTGGAAGCACTGTACGGCCGTAGTGCGCATCCATGACCCCGCCTCGCGGGATTAGAACAAAGGACCTATCAGTCTCGCATACAAGCGCTTAACCACTAAACCACTGAGCTGGCATCCAAAGGTGTTAATGTCTAACTTCAACTAATCCACGAAATTGAACGACACATCCACCATCGTCTTCATTGAGTTACTATTTCACAACTGACCCGGTTGAACTCGGTAAACCCCCTTCTGATATTAAATAGTTATGCTTAAATTTATTTTATTCGGAAACTCGACAAATTTTCTAAATCTTTTTTTTCTATTTTTAAGATGTACTCCAGTTTTTGTATTTAAAAAAAAAGAAAAGGATACACGTATATACGCATATAAAATTTCAAACACTATGTATTTAGTTTAGTATTTACAGTAAAAATGGTCAACTAAGAATAGTTAGGCTGACCTAAATAACTAGAATTATCATTTTTATATTCTTTCTATTACCATAAATATTTAACAAAAGGTTACATGTCATGTAATTTTGTTTAGTTTCTAGTTTAGTTCAATGTTTTCCCCTTTTATTATACCGTCTCTACTTCTTTCTAATGTTATAACTTTAACAAATTTTGTTGTTGTTTTATTTCTCCAGAGTTTAGTTTCTATTTATCTTGTCTTTTATTTATTTTTTTGTTGTTGCTTCATTCACTTTCATAGATCTTATCAATGTTAAATCTCGTATTTTCTTTTTGTTATTTAAAACGTTTCTTAAACTTCGTTAATTATTTGAAGTACATTTCAACAATGTATTTTTTTTTTAAAAAAATAAGTGAAAGAATGGGAAATATGAATGATTATGTAAAATGTAATAATCCTAGTAGGAGAGAAATATTTTTTATCGATTATATTTGCCATCTTTAATGTTAATCGTTGAATTGAATTTGATGATCAATTTTAATGTTTGTTAATAAAACTATAGATTGAATGAAATAGATGATAAGTAGCCTGTAGCTCTTCTAGAGTTACTGCATGTCCCAAGCTCGGGTAAAGAAGGAGGGTTGGGTATGGGTTTAGGTACTCCATCCCATAAAAAACTAACTCGCTAAAAAAACGCTAACCAGAATTTAAAAAAGAAGCTATAAATATATATTCATGGTTTTCGTGGATTTTTTTGAATCTTTATGAAGTAAAATGTATAAATATTTAACGGAATGATAATTATTTCAATGAATTAGTCGTGAGATTATGATCATGAAGTGTATAATGAGTAATATCTAAGTGTATTTTTATCTTCTTGAGTTATAAATCAATGTAGAATCTCAATAATGAGTTTTCCAAACTGCATTATTCTCATTTCTCTACAGACTAAAATGAATAAACTATTAACATAAGTTCAGAAAAATTTCTATCTTTCATTACCATGAAGAGCGTTCTGTTAATCAAAGTAATTTAGTTCTACTTCTTGAAGATAATTAATAATGACGCGTATGCCCTTGAAATCAGTTCACATGTATAAATAAGATAAACATTGACCATATATATATTAAATTGTTGTTTTTGTCTGTCCTTAACATAAAATGAATACATATGTTTTATTCCAAATGATGGCTTGTTATTCACTTACTACTAATTACTTATTATGTTTTTTCCTCACTTACAGTTATAAATATTTAATCGGAAATGATGTATGATATATCCGAATTCCGTGACCAGCATGTTGATATTTACACTGAAGTCCTTCATTTCACCCTAGAAATTATTTAAATTCATTATTATTACAGTGCTACTGTAGTGAACAATAACACCAGTAGAGACAATCGAATATGATTGACACAAAATTACAGGACTTGTTAATAAAAATGAACAATCATATATTAAAACAATAAAGAGGAACAATGTATTTGTAAAATCTCAGCGAAAGAATTTGAAGTAGATCCAACGTTTCGCCTGCAATATGGTCCAAGCTTTTTCAAGAAAAATATAATATAATATATAAAATAATATAATATATAATATCATATAGTAAATACTTAATTTGCAAAATGTCCATCAATCGTCTCAAAATGACTCAGACGTCAATGTCCTTGAATTTTCATACAAATTGCATTCTATTTCCATTCTTTACTGTTCGATCCTCTTGTCTCTCTATTGCCAGACATTCTGTCCACGACTAACGTCATATACTACTTATGTCGACATAAGTAGCACACACCACATTACCAGTACTCAATATTAACGACGGGCAAACGTCTCATTCTTAATTTAGTTTTAATTCATGTGTCATGGTTTGTTTATTTAAAAAAGCGTTTTCATTTTAAAACTATGAACAAAATGTTTTTAATCTGAATCAATGAAACGGATTAACTTTTTAGTAAGAAAAGCAAACTCTGTTTGTTCGTATTATTATCAATATCGACTAATTTTTTTCTATCACTAATTTAACAACTTCTAAGTTTACATTGAAACCTTTTGACCTGAAACTTATGATCTTATATAAAATCAAAATTATTAACCTAATTTATTTTAATCATTATTAGTATTACATATGTGCCGGAAGTAAATGTTGAGTAAAATGTATCCCTTTTGTAACTGTATTTCATGCAGATATTATGCATTAATTAAATTTTATAAAATAAAAAGAAGGAAGATGTTGATGCTTTTTTAAACAAAACGCAATTTTAAACAAAAAGAAAAATTTTCAATATTTAAAACAATAAGTTCAGGAAGCTTATTTATTACAACATAAGAATAAATCTTGAATATCTAATTGGAAATTCTTAAAGAATAATCAATCTGTCTGTTAACACGTCTTAGGTATATAAGAAAGAACAAAGTAAATTAAACAAGAAACAGTTAAATGTTCAAGATTAGGTCAATAATTCTCAAATGTGTTTTTTAAATGTGAACTTCATTCTGTCAATTTAGTAAGCTAAATGGCAAGTGTTTATATTGAATGTAACACTTGATTAAACTCTAATTTATCAACGAGCTATAAATTATTCCAGTAAAAACATCATTTTGTTTTCTGACTCAGTGGCTTCTTTTTTCATTATTCTTAACTAATTTCAAACTTAATAACACAAATTAATTTCTATTTCTCGTGATGTTTTAGTTGTAAATGTAGATTTTGTATATATGTGTATCTATATCAATTACGTAATCATGTAATCTTTTCTTCAGATGATGGAGAAGGTTTGTAGTGCAGGTGGATGATTTTGATGGAGTTTTGTTCTCTGAGCTCGATGTCGTATTGATGATATCGTTCAAAAGAACGATGAAAGCTCCACGACCAAAACATCCAGTTCAGAGAACAAAACTTCATCAAAATCTTTTCGTGTAATAAACTGTGATTTTCATAATTTTCATTTTTTTAAAACTAAACGTTGTCTTCATCTTTTAGGAATGTTACTCTTTATAACTCTAGGCTATTTGGTAGTAGTTCAGAAACATCAGTACTTGAATAACGTATTTTATTCTTCAGATTATATTGCTTTTGTCTTGTTCAAACATATATAGAACATCAGCTTCTTAATATTCTTGAAAAGTTATGTTTCTTCATGGGATTCATCGGTCAAAGTCATAAGTGCTATATATTTTAGCCGAAATTTATAACTTTAGAATGTGAAAGTAGAATCTCATTAACTATACCTTTATGAATAGTTGCAAGTGAATATTACTGTGATCCATTTAACTCGAAAACATTTAAAGTAATTCCAGGTGCGTTTTTCTATTGGTCTATCATGCTTTGACTTCGCATGCATAATAGGATTAATAAAATCCATTGTGACTGTGTCCATATAACATAAATCTATATCGAGTGGAATATAAAGAAGCCAACATTTACATGCCGAAAATAAATGATTAAACTAATGACAAGTTTAAAAGGTTTTATTATTACTATATATGAAATCATTACGATATCACCTAAAACTGGCGAACAGAATGAAAGTCAGCAACACAACAACAGGACGAGCTAAGCTGTTAAACTGATCTCCAGACCTGTTAACTAGAGGGAGAAGACCAGATTCAGTAGGAAAAAGTATATAGTCCACAAGCAGCTGGAAGCATGAAGAACACTGACACAACTCATACGTATATATATATATACAAAAACGTCCTCGGAAAACGTCACACACGCTAAAAGAGGAAACGAATCAATAACAATTAGGATCCTTCTATGTGTAAGATACAAACTGAGGGTAAAAATGGGCACTTTTGGTGAGAAAATGAGAAATTCAAATTTCCATAATAAAATGACAAAAAATGAGACGTTCGCCAAGTGATTTCTAGGGATTGACGAATCCCAACGATTATGATGGATTTCTAAGTTTATCAGTCTACAAGGCTAGAACAATGAAGTGGCTAATTTTTATTGAGTGTTTAAATTATTATTTATATGCGCTTAATGGATTCAAGTTTAACCAGTTAAGTAGAGTCAGTTAACAGTAAAAGATCGAGTGAAATAGAAAAATTAATATTCTTAAAGCCTTTACTGTCACAACCACAAGCTTAAAATACTATTAATGTGAGCTGGATGTATCTGCAATTCAGAATTGATGTTCACTTAGCTACTGAGTTCTGATAGTTACTTTCCTGTTCAGTCGGGTAAATTAAAGCAATATCGAGGCAATACGCACAGTATGCAAATATACCAATAACAGACTGATCAGTTACAGTCCTGAACATCAACAAAAAGATTCAAATAAACAATACTAAGTGAATCTATTAATATGAGTTAAGAATCATGAATACGATTTGAACAACTTTATCATGAAATAGTACAGATAGCAGTCGTCACCAAAAACTTTATCTGAAAACGTTATTTATGAATCTCATTATAAATAATAAATTACATATCCTGTAGGGAAACTGTGTTTTTCCCTAATACGCTGATACAATCAGTGTTTCACAGTTATTATAATTAACTAGGACATATAGTTAGCGTTTTAATAATTGCTCATTTGAAGTATATGTTTGACATTGTGGTGTCACTTTTTGAATACATGTTATAACTAATACTGACCTCATTCATACTGTATCAATAATAAATTTATATATTGTGGAGAAATACTAATATTGTTATTTAGACTATAATAATACTGTCAACCATTTATCAATACAAGCATGTATAAATTCATTTAGATACATCTAAACATAAACATGTCTATTCACTAATACGTATGTATAATTGGTTGAATATATTCATACCCACTGATCAGCATACATGGATCCATGCATATGTATTTATACTCATACTCATTCAAATATAGGTGCATGCATATATATACGTATGAAGAATGAGACTTATCTTTATATCTTATCATTCAGAGTTCAAATCTACTGAAAAAAAGCATTACATCTAACTATCGAAAACTACATTGATTGAAGCATAAAATGATAATGAACATTAGAATTTTAACCAATTTTTGTTTACTCTAATTCATTAAGGAATAATAACATGTGAATTTTTTTAATAGTAGCTAGCAATCAGGAATGATCACTGAATGATACACGTTTCCGTACTGTTTGTAGTATAGCTCTTAAAGAATTCACTTTAGATTCTAACCATTATAATTTTTCAGTAAGCGATGTGCATAAAAAATCCACTACAATCAAGAGAATCGAAATGACTCAAACAGATTAGTTGTTACTTATTTGACTACAATGCTTTTTCACATGGATCAACATATATTTAAGAAGAAATTCAAATTTTTCGTAAGTCGACAGAAGTTCATTTGTGAAATAAGCAATACCTCTATGTTTATTGGAAGAACTACCTCAACCGTTTAATTCCTGAATAAAACATTATTTACTAAAATAATGAGTTCCTACTGAATAAAAATAAAATAACGGTTAAATATTCGAAGTAAGATTTAGTAATCATTGTTTACAGTATCTAGGTAACATAATCGATGAATGTGGAGGATATGATGCAGATGTAAAGAAGAGTACTGACATGATAGAAACAGCATTCCTACAATTTAACAAGATATGGAACTCAAAACAAATGTATGCAAGCTAACATCAAAGTGACAATCTTCAACACCAACGTCAAGACAGTTCTACTACATGCAAATGAAACTTCGAGAACTAGCACAATCATCATCAATTTAGTACAAGTATTTATAAACAAATGTCTACGTAAGATACTCATTGTCCTATTCCTCAATACCATCAACAACAGCCTACTGTTGGAGAGAACAAATCAGGTTCCAGTTGGGGAAGAAATTAGGAAAAGACGTTGGAAGTGGATAGGAAATACATTTCGGAAATCATCAAACCACATCAAGAGGAAAGTGCTAACTTGGAATCGTGAAGTGAAACGGAGAAGAGGAATGCCGAAGAGCATATACTGCATCGGGAATCGGAAGCAGACATGAGAAGAATGAATAGCAACTGAAAACAACTGGGAAAGATTGCTCAGAATAGAATTGGAAGAGGATGCTAGTGAGCAGCCGATGTTTCTCCATCAGGGGTAATAGGCGTACGTTTACAGTCTTCAACAACACATTTCGACATAGAAATCGACATAATATTTATGTCATTAGTTTATTCAGTTCTTTTCCTTTGAACTTACCTCTGATTGTATAATTGTTTTCTCATAGTTTACTAGGTTACTTAATACAATACATCAATTCTAATTCGATATTATAAGCACAGAACTAATTATACTATCACATGCCAAATTATAAGTATATATATACAGACTCTAGTATATGAAGCAAATGTATAATTCAAACCAAACGTTTTAATACTTTCAATAGTTCTATATATAAAATAATATCAATTTTGTGTTTATCCATCATGTTTACCTGTGACCACAAAGTGAAATTCTCATTAAACAGATAAATAGG